TTTATTATAGTCTTTATTTCAATATATAATTTTTTGTATTGTAATAATTAATTTAATTTCTATTTTTATAATTTTAAATTGGACATTTACAATAGCTACATTGGCGACAATATTGGCAAACCCTGTCCATATACCTGGTTCCGAACTGGAATGTCACCTCCGTAACCTAATAGCACCATACACCTGCTATAACCCCATAGACAACTACGGGGTTCTCAATGTGGTTGCTAGTGGACTTATTTGGACTCCATAACAAATATTAAGTATTTCTAATTTAATTTTTATTTAACTTGCATTTCATATATTATGCAGTATTATAAATAAATAGCTAATTAAATAAGTGTTTTCCTACTATTTCATGTTTTTAATGGTTATTCATTTCATGACGTTATAACACTAAATAAATGATAATTTTAATAATACAGTAATGATGATAATTGACATTTTATAAAGTTATGATAATGTATATTGAGCGATCAATTGTTCAGTAACTTTAAACAATAAGATAATTAGTAAGAGAAAAATTCAACTATTTTTACAGAATCACCTGGTTGCTAATGTCAGTAATTAGTTTCTATATGTTTGATAACTTTGTATTAAAATATTGTTTCATATACTCTGTATTTTTCTTAGGTTTTTAGGTCGTGAGCATTCATTTATCAATTCAAGTGATGTTTAGAGTGTGTTATATTGATGATACATGTATTGAAATTAAAATAACCATCGTAAACAAAATAAATTTATCAAATATATAAATAATATAAATAATAAACAAAAATAGAAAACAATGGAAATCGACATCTGGCGGTCCAATAGTAGTGTCTTATTGAGTAATAACTTTCAAAAACAAATGCATTAAAGATTTAAATGTGTTTTATATAATCGTTATAATATAATATTTAACCTTGTTATATAAGTAAGTGTTATACTTAACGTCAATTAAAGATATTATTTGAAAATACTGGTATATAATAATTATGTAATTTTACTAAATGCAATAAGGTGAATAACATTGAAAGTCATTTCAATTTGTATTAAGATATCAATTAAGATATAATTTTGGTGCATAACTATCTGTATATATAATGACTAATATTAATATTAGTGTTGTCAAGGAATTGAATAAAGATATATTAAATAATTAATATGAATATGTGATAATTACAGTTTTAATAACATTAAGTATGCAACAAATATAAGTACATTATAGTCTAAAATCATTATAAATTAGGTTAATATTTTCATTAAGGTTTAAGTCATTTAAGTAGTAATATGATTATTATTAAAGGAAATTTCCATTTATTGTGGCAAAATGACATAGCTGTAAATGTCAAAAGTTGTTCAATATCATAATATCTGATTATCTATTTTGAATATTGTTTGTAAATTTTGTATTAAATTTTTAATAATATTGAACACTGATTTATTAAGCCATGTTTTATATTGTATCTTATATTTAATAAAACACTTTAATATTTTAATAATAATTATAAATATCTAGCTATTAACTCAAAATAATAACCAAAATTAGGAAACAATGGATATCGAGGAACCGTTGTATAAGTATTGGATGTTTTATAGATATGATGTCAACAACAGGATTGTCACCAAAAGGCAACTATTTATTCAAAAATGCAAAGTAATAATAACCAAAATTAGGAAACAATGGATATCGAGGAACCGTTGTATAAGTATTGCATGTTTTATAGATATGATGTCAACAACAGGATTGTCACCAAAAGGCAACTATTTATTCAAAAATGCAAAGTATTTGCTGCCATTGTATTACAAATGGTACACATTATTCGCTATATATTGTATATATACAAAAGTAAATCTCACAAAAGTGTACCCGATTACGAGGTTTTGCAATATTTAGGAGGTATTAAAGAGGGTTTTTATATGATTGCAATCTTGGGGTTTAATATAGTTGTCTGGTTTTATTGTATATATACAAAAGTCAATCTCACAAAAGTGTACCCGATTACGAGGTTTTGCAATATTTAGGAGGTATTAAAGAGGGTTTTTATTTGATTGCAATCTTGGGTTTTAATATAGTTGTCTGGTTCATTATTAACTTAAATATCGGTAATACCTCTAAATATAAATGGTTTGAAATCGTATCAGCAATTAATGGCTACACAACCATACAATCAATTGGTTTACGAAATAGACATTTAGTTAATGTTTTTAAACATAAAATACGAGTTTTAATGAATACAACAAAATTTGGTTTATATTCACTGGATATGACTATTATATTGCTTATGATTACAATCAATGTATTGAAAAATAATATTTTAAGTGTTTACTCGAGTATAATGATGGTGGTTATATTTATGTCAAAATATTACATGTTCTCCCGGGTAACTATCTGGGTGATGTTTTATTATCTAATGGTTTGTTATTATATTAAATATCGGATAAAATGTTTTGACAATTATTTAGAAAGAATTGAATCGAAAACACTTTTACTGAAAAAGCAAACGTTAAGTAAAATATTTGTAACACATAATCAATTGTGTTTAGATATTGAAAATCATAATAAATTTTGGCAAAATATATATTTTATTTTGTGCTATTCATTTATACCAGCCACTAATTTTGTGTTGAATTCAATTTTATTTTACGATATGCTGGTTAATGCTAAAATCTTTTTCTCTGGTTTTATAATCATATTTCTCTCATCCCTTTTGGCACTCAATATAATCACATCTGATATTAATATCCAGATTAACAACACTTTTAAAACATTGAATAAATCCTACATTTGGGTTAAGACGTGTGCAACTATCAATAATAAATTTAAGGTTAATTATTAAATATAAAAATTTAATTAAAAATAATTGGTTTATAAATTTCAGTTAATCTCATGTCTGGAGAGAGTGAGCGATAGGAACCGATTGATAGGCTTTTCGTGTGGCAATCAATTCGTGATCACCAGAAGTGTTGCCTTCAAAGTACAGTATATTATAAGAAAATGTTTTTTAATTACAATTGTTTTCTATTTTTACACGCCCATCGTACATAGGAATTTAACATGATGACATACGCTTTGGCATGACCCCCCTCCCCCTACCAGTGCGTATGTACTTTGTGCACGTCGCCTTGTTAATAAATTTTATAATGATGATTGAAAATTTTATGATTAAATGATAATTTTCCCTTTGATTTATATACTGTTTCAAACCTGACTTTTAATAATTAAATTACGTAATATAAAATAAATATCTCATCAATGTTATCCTAGGATTAACAGTTTGTTACACGATGTCCGCCAGATATATTTGTTTAATCTTTTGCTATTAAAACTACATCATATAAATGTTATAATGGTTTTGCAATTATTTTTAATAATTAAATATATTATAATACAACAAACCAATTATTTAACATTTTATTTTTGAATTCATCTTTAATTTATAAAATATATTTTAAAATAATATAATTATACTAGTTCATATTGTTTTTATAGGTTTTAACCATCATTGTGCAATAAAATTACCGAGAATGATAATAATCGTACTGGCTTAGCTGGTATTAATATTATATAACAAATTTATATAATATTAAATACCACTTAGGATTATTATAAGATAAATAGCCAATATCAATTCTCTATTAGGAATTTAATAATATTTAATGATTATTGACACCTTAATTGATAAATAATGTGTTAGCGATGTACTAAAAGTGTTTTATCTGAATATTTGTGCAAGTACATCTATAACACCTTATGATCCAATAAACATGCTAACACTTTAAAATATTAAATAATAATATAAATTTTTATTTTTATTTATAATAACTAAAATTAAAATATCAATATAATACAATAGAGCAATTAGTGTGTGCTATAATAAGTACAATAATATTGTCAATGCAATATAATTGCATTTTAAACTAAAAATAACATACACAGCATGTTTATTACTATTGTATAGATTTTTACAATTATTTAAAATAATTATAAATATAACTGTGTTTTTAAAATTTTTATAATGTTTAATTTATAAAATAGATTTTTAAATAATTTTGATTAAAATTGCTATAATTGCTTTAGCGTTCATGATGCAATAAATGTACCGGTAATGATAAAAATCGAACTAGCTTAATAGATATTAATACTATATAACAAATATATTATACTTCTATATGACATAAAATAAAATTTAAGTTTATTTTAAGATAAATTACCAATATTTATTTTTTTATTATCAATTTAATGACATTTAATGATGATTGGCACATTAATTGATATAAAACTGTGTTGCACATTAATTGTTAAATAATACAGACTGGTGTAATAAATGTGTTTTATCTGAATATTTGTGCAAGTACATCTATAAGTTATAGACTATAACACATACTGGTCAGATGATAAATATTCTAGCATTTCAAGAAAATAAATATTATATAATGTCATTTGACAATGGAAAAATATATGATGATTTTAATTGTAAAATGTAATAATTCAATTGAGTTTAAAATTTTGTAGATTTAGAAAATTTAAAGACAAATTATGTGTGGTAATCTAATTAAAATAGTGATGCTCATATTAATTTAAGTTACAATACTAGACTAGATAAAATACTAGATAATACTATTCATTGATTAACAAAATTTTAACTATAACTATTTATAGCTTTATATAAATATTATAATATAATTTATAGCCTTTAATTACAGGTGAGCCATGACTAAACTGTACCTGGGTACTAAATATCAAGAGCATACAATTAATTAATCATTGTTTATGTATAATACAATTACAGTGTTCATGTAAAATAATTCAAGATGTATAGCCAGGTAAACTTTCACTCGCAGACCAATTACTACCCTAAATACCTGTCACCGTCCGAAAGGTTACACTAGTATTTGATCAATAAATATATTTAATTTACCGGTATATTTAAATAACTCGTAACTAAATATGCTTCAAATTATATTTTATTCCATATTAAATTCATAATACAAATGAAATTAATTAATTTCTTAAAGTTAGCACCTTGACCAATCATAGGACTTTATATCCTTATGGTCGCCATTACACGTGATCTCTTGGGTATGTTTACGATCGACAGCATCGGACACTAACCAATAGTTACTGCAATTGCCGCAATTTATGTCCACTGTTATTGTATTCATTGGGTTGGCATTAAAGTACGGCATAAATGTCTCCTCGCTCAGAGTAGTCAAATGGTTGCCATCCAATACCAACCATACTGCGCGATTAAAACTCGTACCATAATCACCAAACACGTACTCCCCATCAAATGACCTATCATTCAGAGTATTGTTGTCTAACCGGAGTTCCAGTTCCTTAGCATCGGGGGTGGGTTTAAGACTTAGGGCAAATGCCCTGTAACCGATATAATCAATGGTGTTGTTGCTTAAATCAAGCACGCTCAATTGTGGCAGGGTTTGAAATGCAGAAGGTTCAATGCGTTTAAGTTTGTTCCCGGTCATTCGGATTTCACGTAATTTTTGTTTATTTAAAAATGCGTCTTCACTCACTCTTTTAAGGCTAGTATTACTAATGATCACGTGCTCCAAGTTAACCATCTTATTGATGACCTTGAACATATCGTGCTGAGGGCCCAGCGATTCACCTACCGGTGTGTTTCGGATCTCCAGACGCTGTACAAGCTTTTCGGTCCCATTAAACGCGTTGATGTCGATGGTTTTCAGCGAGTGCATATTTTCGATGTAGATGCTCTTGGTGCGAACACCGGCCAATTGTGTCGAGCCCAATTCCGTGACAGTTGGTGAGCGTAGATATACCGCTTCCACTGTTTCCAAAGCAAACTTTTGTTTTATTAAGTAAAAGATTTGTCTAATTTGACTATAGTCCATGTTGTCATTTTGGCAACCCACAATTATGTGGTTTTCGATCGGGTTGTAGCACGCGCACGGTGCCACTAAATGACGTAGGTGGCATTCGATGGCTGAGCTTGGTAATGGCACAGACGCTACGGTAGCTGTAATAGCTGCAAGAATATATTTGAAAATTTAGTTATAATGTATATTAAATATTACATTTCATTTAATATAGCTATAAGAATCATACAAAGAATTATAGAAAATTATATTAAAGTATATTTTAAAACTGTGTTGAAATGTTCAACATTAATTTTTTAGACTAATATAAACTAACTTTTAATACTCTATAAAATATATAAATTAAATTTTTATATAAGCTGTATAATATACAAACCTAAGAATATAACAATAACTAAATGGTTCATGGTGAATGATTCAATAAAATTACTAAATTACTTTAGTATTGTATTAAATAACTTATGATTTAAAATATATACTTATTGGCTCATATTTATATAATATTTAAAATTGTTGTTACATAATGTACCTGATAAAATATTTTCAGGCAGAATATAAATATCATTATTAGGCAATACGTTACTAAGTATCACAAAATGTTCCAAACACCCTAACACCCTAAGTTCCAATCAAGGATATTGATTGTAAGGACAAATTTATTAATTCATTATTAGGCAATAAACTGTATTAATAATCACAAAAATGTGACAATTAAATTCAATAAAAATTAATCCCATAATCTATTATATTATACTGTATTTATTAAATGCTATTTATTACGTCAGCCACGACTAATAGCCTATCAATATATTTTTTGAGCTTGTTGATAAGAAAATAATTGCACCATGAGCTTATAACATAATAAATGTGTAATGCTGTTAAATAATAAAAATAAAACATTGTAATTAGGTGTATAGTAAATATGATTTACTGTACACTATAGGGATTAGTTGACACTTAATTGCAAAATAATGATACGTTAATCCCAATAATGATTAAATCATATTCACACTTAAATTGCACATTAGATAATAATATGAACAGGGATCAGATAAATAGTTTAGTTTATAACTTACAATGCACCACTAATAATAATAACTAATAATAACTTAATAATGAATTAATAAATTTGTCCTTACAATTGGAACATTTTGTGATACTTAGTAACGTATTGCCTAATAATGATATTTATATTCTGCCTGAAAATATTTTATCAGGTACATTATGTAACAACAATTTTAAATATTATATAAATATGAGCCAATAAG